TTTTAGGAGTCATAGGCAATTGTTATGCTCGGGAATATCTTTATAGCTAATAACTAATTATTCCTCTTCTGTAGAGTTACATGTAATTAAGCTTGCTTTTTATTTAAAGGACTGTAGACTAACAGAACTTTGATTCTATTAAAAGAAAACTCCACCTTGACAACAAGATGCTTTTTAATAGAAAAACCATTCAAATGTGTATACTTGGCAACAGTAAATGAATATTAAGAATAATAGATACTTTTTTACTCTTTTTTTCTGAAATGCTAGTAGAAATAATATACCTTTAGCAAGCTGCAGTAGAAATGCTTTTGTCTTTCCTCATGTTTTAGGTTTATATAGTAATGTAGATATAACTATTTGTTATTTATGAAATATGCAATTTGAGCCAAATCTGTCAAATACACAATTTGATGTAAACTTTTGGGTGTTTGGAGGCTATATTAACTAGTTTTATGTAAACGTTATATGGCTTTGTTGTTAGAAAGCAATTTCCTGGATACTTTGAGTACTGGTAGGGGTGTATATGGCAGCTTGGCTAAAATCTGGAAAGATTTGTTAGTAATGTAGATATTTTTTAGAAAAAAATGCTGTTACAAGATTGTTGATCTTGATTTTAAATGTTATTAATATTAACTATATATTGATTGCAATTCTTTTACTATATCTTCTTTATTATACTCATGTGATGGGTAGAGATATTCATTTAGCACCAGCAATTAGCACCAGCAATTTTAGATGGAGTGTTTTATATATTTCTATTGAAGAAAAATAAAGGAAAGTTGTTTTTTCTACTTGTAAGGCTATTTTGATGTCATGAGTAAACTCATTGTCTCAGTGTGCCCCTCTTTGGAAACATATTATTCATATTGAATATACTTATTGTGAAGAAACTGATAATGATTGATATTCTCATGTGTCTCTTGAGTGCTCATTTTCATGCACCTCCATTTCTTTGGTGTCTTTATATGATTGATAAAAACATACATAACTCATTATAGTCAACATTCACTTTTTTCAGGAAGGGGGATATGAGTTTTGATTAAAAATACTTGTGTGGTATGTTTTCTACATGGTATGTGTATCGAGTGCTGTGTGATTGTGTGGAGTTAAGACATCAGTCATAAATACATTGTAATGTAATATAATCTTCCTGGCCACATGTTTTAATGATAAATACTCACCATAGTGTGTGGAAATTGTTACATCGTGCTTATCTTTCTGATGAAGACGACATACCGTATATGATATCATGGACCCACCATGGTTTAGATAAGACTTATAATAAGGTTAGAAAATAGACATAACAATCAAATACAAATTAATTGACTAGCATATTTTTGAAGGAGTCATACATGTAAGATTAATACATTTGGGCTTTATATGCGCAACTAAACTTGTGGTTTGTGGTCCACAATACTTAAGTGGTTTTTAATTTCAAAGAATTGTTATCAATTTATTTTGATTTCATTCATTTATTTATTCTGTTTTATATGGACAACTAAACTTGTGGTTTGTGTTCCACAATACTTAGGTGGTTTATAATTTTAAAGAATTATCAATTTATTTTATTTTCATTCATATTTAATCTGTTTGATTTTATTCATTTATTTATTCTATTTGATTTTATTCATATATTATTATTTTATGTGCAGAGTGATGGATGATAGGCTTTAACATTAAGGCTGCACAGTTTTAAAAAATTTATTGAAAAGTAAACGTCTACAAATATTGGATCACATATGATTTTCTTTTTTTGTTCTTTCTTTCTTTTTCCTTTTATTATTTGCCATAATAATCTTTACAATGCTTACTGTCAAGATTATTTTTTGTTTTCTTCTGTTTTTTTCCAATCATGTCATGATAAACAGAGGGAACATGAAAACGTAGAGGCTGGATGGTGTACATGGTATATTAGTCTGCAGTGGCAAAGCTTCATGCGGATTGTGATGGCGGCGGGTTTGTGGATGGTTGTAGAAACATGAACGGATAATGTACTGCTTAAAACTCCTGGTGGAGTGTATGGTTTACATATATATACTACATTTATAGTGGCATTAGCTTCCTTGTGGGATCTGGGTTTTTCTGACTGACACAAGTGCTCTATAACCATAGGCTGTATCTCTGTATCTTGGTGGAGCTTTGAGTGCAGAATCCAGTGGTGTATCCAGTATTGGGTGAAGCCTAAAGCTATATCATAATCCACCCCCCTCCCCCTCACATGATGGGACTGCCCTTCTCAGGATTGTGTTGTCCCTGTTTATCAATTGCTGGATATACCGCTGGATCTACATGTAACTATCTGTCAATTTTTCTCTCTACCTAATTCATCTATTTTCAATTGTCTATTTACCTAGTCTCTTTGCCCTGCAGAAGGCAGGTTTGTCATCATTAATCCATATTGCACTACATGTACCTGTGTTGTTTTTACACTCTCATTCTACGATGACATCTATCCATCTTGTGATTCTCTCTCTGCCTCTCTCTCTCTTTCTGCCTCTGTATCTCTCTTCCTCTCTCCGCTCTCTCTCTCTCTCTCTCTCTCTCTCTCTCCATGTCTGGCATGTGTGCTTGACTATTAAACTGACGAGTCCTTCTGTAATCTGTTCTGCTGGTTGTGTGCCAATCCTAAGTAAACCCTCATTTGATTGTATCCTTCACCTACCTTCATCCTCCATCTCTCATGGGTATACTGCTACATCACTTGTGTGTCTTCATCTATCTTTGCTTTTTTTTCTGGATTAGAGACCAGATAGTTTCTACTACCTCAATTTCTTAGCCTGTAATAACCACCTTGGGTCAAACGAATGGTTGTACCTTCGTTGCTCAGGATCATTCAGATCATCTAGGTTACGTTCAAAAGGCTTTGTTTAAGGGTCAGTGGGTCATGTTAGGCAACATGAATGTAATAGAAATGCATAGTTGCCTAAAATAAAAATATATGTATTTATATTAGAGTAAATGACAATACAAATTCTGAATAATAAGGAAGGTCCTATCTTTACTATTGTTATTGGTTGTATAGGTACTTTCCCCACAGGGTAAGTTGATTCCAAGAAAATGTAACTATACGCACAATTTATTCATAAATCGTTTGGGGTAGCAGACTTTAACAGTGACTGGATGTATTCCCAAGGTAGTAGATATGCGTAGAGTTTATTTATCCAGTTATTCAGGGAATAATATTTTATGAATGATTTAGTATCATAGAACAAGAAGTATGATAGATTTTAAGTAAAATTATACACTAAGTTGGTTGTGATGTAAGCTAGCTGACAAATCCATTAACTTTGTTGACTTGAGCTTAGAGGTTACCTGAGGATTAACATCGTAGCATGTAATATCGGAGTCATTCGGATCTTAACAGGGTATTTATGTTGGACGTCAATGTAGAAATGAACATTTTTAAATCTCTCATTTAGCAATATGTTACAATGTTGGGTGTATTAAAAATGAAAAAATAGAGAGAATATTTTGATTATATACATGTACTACATTTTTTGTGTTTATTACAGTAAATAGAGACCACATGGTAGAATTCTACTATAATCTGATCTAATCACCTACATATGTTTTTTCTATTAATTGTTCCATTTTCCCCCTTAGGAAGGGGGTAAATTTGGAATACACTCTAATGCAGTGATTTTAAATATACATATATAAACTCTTACGCAATTTTGTTTTATTCTATAGACTTTAAGTCACATATATGATGTAAATCTAAATTTAATTTATGTTCTTAATGAATTTTATATGGGATTAGTTTCACAGTCAGTTGAATTACAGCAATTAAAATCTAAGGTGTACTATGCAAATGATATTATTGCATTTCAGCTATTCTAAAATCTTATATGGTGAGATGTGTGATATAGAAAATATTAACTTAATAAACTTATTATTGAATACTGAAATTGTTTGTCTCAAAATCTGTCATGGTGTTATATGTGCAGCATTCACATTGGGATTTCCTTGAGGGATGGAAAAGATTTACAGATTCCCATTAACAGGTTGTGACCCCCCCCCCCCCCCCAAAAAAAAGAGAGAACTGAGAGTGACAGGGGTGTTGCATACATGTTTGATGGTGGAGTGCTCATGTGGTGTTTGTAGTGCATAGAGAGTGAGACGAGATTTCCTCTTGTGAATAGTAAAGGGAAACATTAATATTTGTCATCAGAAACAAAATCCTTCGCTTCATAATGACACCTCAAGCCTCATACAAACATAACCAGCTAAACTGCCTCAAATAAAATTGCTGCAAGGAAATTTGTTTTAAATGTAAAACGAAAATATCACAATTTGGAGATAAATGAAATAGCTACATAAACTAAAAAAATTGCCCTTCCTTCTCTGTGTGTATTTCTGACCACACTCACTTTGTATACCATACTCCAAGTCATTTCATTTTGCTGTGGCAGAGGTTTTGGGGCAATTAAAGAGAAAGTTGAGTTCTGGAAAGAGGTGAAAAATAATTTGTGAGCGTTATCATTGTATCATGCAAGTGTGGAAGAACATCAGATAAAAAATGTTCCCTGAAAAGCATGGATTGGAACAGATTTTTATGCAACACGTTCGTGTAGTCACGTACAGTGGCGGATCTAGGGGGGCACAGGGGGCATGTGCTCAGTCTCCACAAGAGGGAAATGGTGTTGCAAATTTTTAAACTACCAGTACATTTGACCCTTGCACTGGTTTTAACATGAAATTATTTACAAATTTCTTCCATTGACATAGGCAATAATGTTTTTCAAGTTTATATACAAATTTTAATTTACCTTAGTGGACTTTTGTAATTAAAAAAACTCTTTCAGAACATGGAAATGGCCCGTTTTTAAAGGGCTAGTCATAACCACCATAATACAAAGGGTGATTGGTGAAATCACTTGATAATTAGAGAGTTTAATATAAAGTGTGATCTTCAATACAAACAAAAAAACACCATGTCCCGTTAGCCCTATATCCATAAAATGTAGTCACAACATACAAAAAGAGGAACACAAATGTATATAAGACAACTTACACAGAAACTTTATTATCTTTAAAATCCAAACGCAATTGACAAGATTCCTTCATCATACATAACTACTCTACTATTATTACTAGGAATAAAATAAGTTTTATCTATAACTACATAACTTTAGTTTTAAATTGAAATCCCAAGGAATGTTTGAACTGACCTTTCGTATACAGATATTGGGAGATATGTGACCGCTGCATTACAATACAATGTGATATATGTCCAGTGCCACACTTTTGTTTATTTTGTAATATTATCTTTATGTACTTAGTAAATGCTACAAATTACACAACAAAAACATGTAGAAAGGACAAAAATCACCGCATAATTTGCATGAGTTTTATATGCAGTATGGAATTTGGTTTGTTCAAAGGGAATTTTCACAGAAAAACAGGCATTGAAATATACAGACTGGCAGGATAGAGGACAGACAAATCATAATTTCCCCTTACAAATTGACCACTTTTCCCTGCAACTCCAGAATTGATAAGAAACGTTGTGAGGAAGAAAAAAAACGATAAATTAAAAACTATGTGGCTAATGCCGTGAATACTGAAAAACTATCTTTTAGAACCGTCAGTAAACTTATTTCTTTGATGAGTGAGTTTGACTTGGGACTTGTCGGTTGGAAATTGGAAAAACAGCATAGACTTGTAGACTTTAAGATGACTTTCTCATAGATTGTGGCATTCATCACTGTTGAAATCAATTGTAGGCTATTATCAAACATGATTCAGAATATCGGTTGAGTATTCTGTCCCTCAGTACATGCATTCCCCCTGTTTTACACAGTTCATTTGTTCCACTCCTAACCATATAGCTTTGCGCTCCATTGAGATGTGGGAAGAGTCATTCTAACTGCGGGTGTATTTTCCCCAGATGTGAAGCATGAAAACTGATGCAATAAAGATGAGGCTCATGACAAGAACAGGCACTGGTCCACTAGAAGATTGAATAAAAGAGGATTAAAAATATGAGTCAGGAATAATGAACAACCAACAAACATTTGGCACAAAGTGAAAAGGGAGATGAACATTGTGAACTTTGAAATAAATAGGGGAGTCTCTCATGTCATCAAGTTAATAGTATTGGTTTACTACAAAAATGTCAACAATCAGCATAAATGTACGTATCTGCCTTTCACAATTAAGAAGTATCCTGAAAAAGGTTGAGATTTTCTTTGAGATCATCCATCCTCTACTAAAATCTGACAAATATAATTGTACCATGAAGCGATTTGATCATGAAAATATACCCCATGCTACTCATCAGCACATCGTACAGGTAACCGTATAGGACGAATGATTTTAATTTTCTGATATTACTTACACTTTAAGTCCTGGGGAGTCTTCTGTGTAGAATCTCCACATTCCTCCGCTGTTACTTCCTGCAGTGCGCCCTCTTGTGGTGGCACCAGCAGATTTCCTACAAAGAATTAAATAAATATCATACCGTGCAAGTTCATGTATTTACTAATACCTTTATATACAAAGCATTCCATACACACTTGTCTTTGGCTATGGATGTGGTGGAAGTGACACATTAGTGACACTAAACTAAATTACATAATGACAATACACACTTCTTATTATTTGGCACTCTTTCTACGAGGTTCCTTAGTTTAAAGCCCTACTGTCCTACTTGTAGCTACTTGCTCCCTCTATATAGAAAACTTCCCCAATCGGTGCCTGTTGGTCCCCCATGATCCTCTTTTTCTTATGTTAGTTGAGAGCTGAGTTAATGAGATAGCCACCTGTCAGTGAACTCACTGTGTGGTCTAATCCCTTCTGGGGGTGTTTCATAAAGCTGTTTGTAAAGTTATGCATGGCTTTACGAATGACTTGTATATGAAAAGCCAAATGGGATGCTCAATCATTCTTGATTATTATTTATTAAGTTGAACTGTGCAAATGTAGATTACTATTCTTATTATAACAAACATTTTTAATGCAAAGTATATTTTTTGCCATAATTTAATTGAGGTTAAAGTCATGTGTAACTTTACAAACTCTTTATGAAACACCCCCTGGCCCAGTAGTATTGACAGTCTTTAAGAAGATGAATTATTTGCTGCGTTTTGCATTGAAATAAGATGCCCACAATTCATTGCAAAATACAACAATTTGTCATTATAAAAAGCTCAACAATTTGGTAACATGTAGATTTAAATACAGTGGAGGTTGTTTTTCCCATAATCAAATATATTTTTTGCCATCAAATATTTATAACTCTTCAATACTCAACAAATTGCAGCCAGAGATTCGAGTTTCAGGCACAATTGTTGAAACTATGCCAGTGAGACGATGATAATATGTGATAAGACTGCAAGGTAATCAAGCATGCATGATGATGATGAGGTACTGACCTTTGTCTGACCTGTGACCCTCCACTTGATGACCTTGGTGACACAGATTTTGACGACGGGGAACGTCCTCCTCCTCCTACCGATGTTGAGCTTGGTGATGAGACAGTCTGTATGAATTATCAAATGCAAAAGAGCAAGTCTAAATATTTACAGGGAGCATGACGATTTGGACATTGCAGTTTCTTGACTTTTATTCCATGAGCTGTGGTCTAAATCTATCAATTATATGGATCTGAAACATTGAATTGACTAGAATTTTTTTGCTTTGTTTTGTTCTTTCTTTTTTTGATCAGGGAAATTTGTATTGACAAGAGAAAGCCCAGAGTAAATAACAAACCGATAAGCACCTGGAGATCACTGATGGGATTTCTAAATCATGCTCCTGAGAAAACTTACCAACTGACAATTATTTCCCCGGCTTTGACTCTCGCGTTTTTCTTTTTTTTTTGGTCTGTTCTTTTCTTATTTGGAACAATCTAGACCTAAGTTGTAGTTGTATAACTTGTATTCATTATTTGTATTTATAACTGTGTCTTTCAAGCACCAAATGCATGCAATTAAGGACAAAGGTATCAATCGCATGATTATAATTTAGAAAATGATCAAGTAAATGTTGCGTTTTATAAGATTGATCCAACTTTTTTTGCACAGCCAATACCAAACAATAGGAAACGCCACTTAAAGCGGATGGGACTTCAGTTTAAACAGCTGCTGATCTGTGCTTTTCGAAGCCCCACATTTATCTAAATTATTTCCCTCTATAATTTCTCCATTTCAGGCTAACAGTTATCCAGAAAATCTAACGTTTTCGGACATAAATATAAAAATAGAAAAACAATTCAAAAACAATAGTAAATTAGGTTATCTTACCATAATGAACGGTGTGATTTGGACAGCTTGTGACGACTCGAGCAAAGGGAAATGACACGTATTTACTAATTTTACCTAAATGTACTGTGTTGCTAGATGGCGCTATAACAAAATCTTTGGAGGGCGTCGTGTCGAATCTCTTTGATCTGTGCAAATATCTCTCTGCTAAATTCTCACTAAACGAAATGTACCCGGACTCGTAAGAGAACACTTTTTTTTTTTTTTTTTTTCTTTGGTCTCGAAATTTGAAAATTTGACATTTTTCTTCGTTGGGGGGGGGGGGGTAACGTCACCTTTTTTAGGTTAGCCGTGGCCATTTTTTTTTTTTATTTTTTTTTTATAATTTAAAAAAAAAAAAAAAAAAAAAAAATCCAAAGGGGGGGGGGGGGGGGGGGGGGGGTTTAGGTTTTTAAGGGGGGTTTACACACATAAAAATACCAAAGGGGGGGGTTGAACCCCCAAACCCCCCCCCCCCCCCCCCCCCCCCCCCCCCCCCTGCGTACGCCCCTGCTACTGGGTATAGAGCTGGAAAAGGTGCTCATGCAGCTTTACTTCTGGACCGGGCAAAAATAGCACAGGTCGATGGACGGAGAAGCGTTATTAATGACCAATTCAAGAGGGGAATTAAGTGGATAATAAAAAATGAAAGGGTGGAGATCGAGGATTGATCAGTGCTCCGAGGAGGACCGTGCCACACTTTGATAATGATCTTATTTCCGGATGTAACTAAAACTATAATTATACAAAATAGGCGCAAATAGGCCTAAACATAAAATGATGTTGTTTTCGATTAATTGAAGAAAATAGCTTGATGTATATTATGCAGCAGGGACCCCGGCACGGACCGGAGCACGGACCTCGGGCCTACAATTAAGGTTACTCCAATTAGCCACTACAAATCGTCAGCATTTGTTTGCTATTAGGCATTAAAGGTGCCAAAACATGGGTGGGTCGGTCAGATTTTTTTGTTGTTTTTTAACCCTTTTTTTTATACCTCCTCTTTAGGCTGATATTTTTGAAAACGGTAAAAATAACACAAATTAAAAAGCCGACCGTAGATTTCAAGATTTTGGGTCGGTCGCAAAGGGCAATACAATTAACATCTTTTTTTTTTTAGGCCTTACAATCCTGGACAAACATTAGTTTGAAATAACAGTCCACAATCCCAGGCTCTTTCTCCTCAATTTCTGTTACCAACATCACATCCTACCCTGTCCGTTAAACCTTTCTTTCTTAGGGGTGTCCCATGCAGTCGGCCGCAGTATCTGAAAGAAGAAGAAGCATGCACCATCATGCACCATGAGACCGAGAGATTCGACATAATATTCTAATCGTTCACGAGACCGACAATCGTGCATGGGATTTAGGTCTAGGCTTACTTCGGATACGTCCCATATGAGGAGCATGATTTCATCAATCCAAAAATTAAATAAATCAAAGGGCTTTATCAAATATATATCAGTGGTGGATCCAGAAATTATTAAATTAAATTATTAGAGAAAGAAGACGATTCGTTGAACCGTTCTCGACTGTTAATCCTAGTCTGACGGTAATTGCCCCCCCCCCCCTCCCGCTCACAAAAATTCTCTCTTACCCCCTTTTTTTTCCATCTCTTTTTTGTTCTTCCTCCGTCTTTCCCACTTTCTTCCTTTTCCGCCTCTCCCCTTTTCTCTCCTTCCTCCTTTATTAATTCTTCTTTCTCTCTTCCTTTAATTTTCTTTCTTTTTCTCCTTTCTAGTTTCCCCCTTATTTTTACCGGGGTTGGGGCGGGGGCACTTTCCCCTGTGCCCCCTGAATCAGCCACTGTATATATATATATATATATATATATATATATATATATATATATATATATAATAACCCCCCCCCCCCCCCCCCCCCCCCCCCCCCCCCCCACCCCACAAAGCTTTTGATAGTGAGAGTCGAGACCGTCGAATTTCAAGCAAGCCTTGAAAATCCTGTCGTAGATGGCGTCCACCAAACACAAAGGGGAAATTACAGAGAGCAGTCACCAATAACAACCCAAGACGCCATGGAAAACCGAGATTTACCACAAGAAAATGGCCAGTCTCCTCTAGCAGATTTTGTAACGCGAAATTATGAAGAGCAACGGGTAAGGATTAAAATGAAACTAAAAATGGTGTGTTGATGCCTTCAGGAGTGGAGACTGTGGAGTGATAATTATCTCTTCCTAAGTCGAACCCAGCCAGACTCAGGCCGCTCAGGTCAGCTCAGCCTAGCGAGCTCCGCCGCCGCGCCGCGCCGCGCCGAAGGCGTTGGATCAGCTTCAGAGCCTGCATAGCCATAGGAAAACTATTCAAACAGCGGGTTGGGTCACATTTTTTCGAAATGTAAAGAAGCAGTAATCACAATTTTGACTTACAATGTTTTTTTTTTTTAGTGGCTGTCGCAAGAGGAAGTCTTACCTTCGACTCCTCTGTAGCTTTAAAGGTAATACTAATAGATCTAGATCTAGGCCTAGATCTAGATCTAGACCTACAAAGTTTTGGGAAATTTTGAAAATTGGGTGGATAGTGAATCTTTACAATTTTGACGTATTTGGATGCCCATGTGGATGTATTATAAGCACTAAAAAAATTAGCCCCTAAAACATTTCTGTTTTCGAGAAAAATCGAATATAAAAATTTACCGGTGCTCCCGGTAAATCTTGATAAATTTCAAATAGCGCATAGACTATGGCCGTACAATGGTAGCTGCGACCACGAAAATCTCAGAATATGTAGTTGTGATATAAAATTTCCAAACAGGAATAGCTAATCGGTCGATTTTAGTCAAGAAATATTGTTTCATAGCTAAATTAATATCTTGACCTTGAGAGGGAGCTATACAACATAAAGAGTTTATTATTTATAATTTCACAACTTGAGACTTGATTTCAACCGCTACAACGATCACTGAATATTGTAGGAACGCATATGCTTCCAATATGTTAATCTGAACCAAATTCATGACCCCATACCAAAACTTTGTAATACCTTTAAGGGCTCCCTTGAAATGTTTTTTATGATATTAGACCTATTCAAGGGAGCCTTAACCGCCTCCCATACGACTGCACAGAGAGGTAGGTAAACAAAATCTCAAATGTGTCCAAAATCACACACTCCCGCACCCGACCAATATTGGACAGTGGCTTTGATGAATTTTATGTTAGTTGTAATCGTAAAATTTTACATCCTGAATTTAAAAATCGGAGGTAAAAATAAGGAAATAATAGCAATTTTCTTACCAGACCGATACAGCTTAGCTCCCTTTTCACGTGTAGCGTGTGAATTCACGATCTCTACACAATGGTGATGACCTCTGACTGGCACTTCCTAAATGTGCTGCTGCTGTATAATGCGCTGAATAACACTGGTACAAAGTGTGATTTTGGACACATTTGAGATGTTGTTTACCTACCTCTCCGTGCAGTCGTATGGGAGGCGGTTAAGGCTCCCTTGAATAATATCATAAAAAACATTTCAAGGGAGCCCTTAAGGCTACTCCTCTTTGCATCCGTATGATATACCGAGCATGCATACTTTCTCTTCGACTTCGCCTGTTGAATCGACCATAGTTTTATACAACATCAACATGGGATGAATTGGGTTAGGAAAAATCACCCTTTTTCCAATCAATGACTTCTTTAAATCAAAATTTTAAGTGATAATTGAACAGATGCCCAGAGCAGAGGCCGGAGTTGAAAAACATTGTAATGTAAGTCAAAAGTGTAATTAGATCTACTATAGGCTACTACTATTAGACCTTGACCTACTTCTTAACATTTCGAAAAAATGTGACCCAACCAGCTGTTTGAATTGTTTTCCTATGCAGGCTCTGGAGCTCCGTCGCCCAGCATTAACCTGTTGACTACTGAATTCTCTCATTCCCATAGGCTTAATACAGGCACCACCCGGTTCCAGTAGACCAATGGGTTAATGTACATCTAACTGCTTCGTGATGCGAGTGTAGTGTATAGTGGTACCGGTATAGGTACCACGCCGTTTGCCCGGTGGACCAAACCATCCTTGCGGATATCAAGCCTGGAAGATTGCTGAATAAAGTTGATTGTATTCGAGCGGGGCCGCGGCCGGGGCGGGCAGTTGATCCTCCCATATGGTAGAATTTTACAAAAATCCTTGGTAATTCTACAGATTCTGCCCAAAGTTGAAAACAAGCCTTGAAAGAGAATAGTTACTACCGTAGTTAGGGTCAGGGCTAAGCCCAGGGTGGCCGTGGGTAACTATATCTTTCCAGGCTTTTTTTTCCAATTTAGGCATAATCTGTAGAATTTCCAAATCTTTAAAAAAGTGATTTCCTTTAATTAGATTGCAAAATAGAACTACAGAATTCTGTCCACAAATGTGGCCAGGCTTTTTGCCTGATATAGTCGTAGACATTGTAAAATGAGTTCTGAGTTTGAGTTTTGAATAAATAAAATAGATCTAGATTCTGGAGATGACATTGACAAATACTATCATCTCTTTGTAGGAGGCGAGACAGCGGGTTGGTGAAGCCCATGAGGATCAAAGGGTTGATGCGTTCCTGCAAAGAGCCCTTAGTGAGAGTAAAAGGTATGTCTATAGTTTAATACAACTTTTTTACAAGTTTGAAATATTCCAAACTGCATCAGATTATAGAATCTATTTTTTTAATATTTTTTTAAAGGAGTTAAGCAAATTAAAAATACATGTTGAGTGGCTATAAGAGAACAGCAAAAGGCCGATGACCAGACAGAGGCTCATTCAAATCTCATTTTTCTTTTTAACAGGTCTAAATGAATGGGGGAGTTAAAGGGGGAGGGCAGAAATTGTTTAAGGGTGTAGTTGTCCACAGGGAATTAGTTCATGGGGTCTCAGAGTCTTAACTTTCAACATTTTTTATAGCAATTGGCAAAGATATATATGCCTACTAGCCAGTATAAGCAAGGTTGGATCTGTTTACAGACAGTATATTACAAAACATTGCTCCATAAATAGTGATTTCAATTATTGTGGTTTTAAGCAAGTTAGTTGTTTTGTTGTTGTAAATCTGCACATACTGCACATTGCACAAGAGTATAAATAGTGATTCAGAATGACTAGTTATTATTTCTAAATCCTATATCTTGTTCTCCGTCTTTGTAGAATGGATGCGGAGGTGAACAAGGCAGAGAGAAGACAGAATGAGCTTTACAGCGAGCTTGGACAAGATAAGATGCATTCCTGGATCATGGAGCATGCATCAGAAGTCACAGTGACCCTACCCTGCGCAGGTGAAGGAACTCCAATAGATACAGAGGATGTCAACAAGCCAAGTGATAAAGCAGATGTTATTAGATGAAAGATGATAATGAATGCTTATAGTGTAAATAAAGTTGTACATTTTGTAAAGGCTAATGAACTTCAAGTCTAAACTGGGTTTTTTTTTCGAATAAAAATTGATCAGGAAGGGAGAGAGTGAGAGAAGGGGAAGGGGAAGGGAGGTGGGGACAGAAAGAGGAAGAAGAGGAGAAGGAGAAAGAGATGGTTGGAAATGGAGGGGAGAAGGAGAGGAGGGGAGAGGGATAGAGACAGGGAATTGATCTATAGAAATGAGAAAAAAGAGAAGTTACGATGGAGATATGAGGAAAAAGAGGGGGAGTGAGATTTATAGAAAAATGATGAGGGAGAAGGGGATATATAGACTGGTGCAGAGAAAGAGAGAGGTCGAAAATAGGAGAGGAGAGACTTGCATTCAAAACTGAAAAATATCAGCCCGAAGAGGGAGTTAAAATTTTTTGTAAAAAGATTGCTAACCAACCGACCCATGTTTTGACACCTAAAGGACAATACAACATCTTCTTCTTTTTTAGGCCTAATTCATGTTAATGTCATATTAAAGAAGAATGGGAAAGGAATAAATGGAGAATTTAAAAGCAACAGCAAGGCACAAGAATGATAGAAAGGAGATATAGAGGTAGCGGGTACAGACAGAAATACATTCTATGGCCTTAAACTGCATCATAAAAAATGTGGAATTCAGTGATGTTGGAGAGCAAAGAATTCCTAGAAACTACTATTTCAATACAATTCAAGTTTTAACCAACCAAGATGAATGAACAAACAATGGTAGCCTAAAGTTGTTTGAATATGGACAATTTTCACATTTATTGTAACATGTATATGATACAACTATAAAAAGCAAATTCTCGCATGATTGACGAGAGTAGTATAAATGAAAATATATAAAACAAAATTAAAGGCAAATATTCTGAATTTCGTCTCAATATCTTTTACATTCTTTTTCCAGACATGTATGCATGAGCTGAAAAGAGACACTGTATACCAAGAAACAAAAACAATGCATGCTGGACGGAACAATGCACACACTGAAATAGGCTTACAGTAATACATATGAAGACTTCTCTTCATCATATACGGCGATCCTTAAACACACTATTCATGGAAAGAACTTGACATTGAAACTTCATGGCTTGTTCATTTGCAGTTCAAAGGGATTTAAATATTTAAAAACAGATTACTTTAATTTGAAGCAGAAATTAGAGAAGCAAATGTATATGTATGCAAAATTTGAGAACAATGCAATCAGTGAAAAAGTAAGATTTTTTAACAGTGAAGATCTAATATAAATTTCTAAACCAAAATACTCCCATTTGTTTAGTCTGCTAAATTTTCTCAAAGCTGCCAAATTTCTAAGTTCTTATAAAGTCAAACCTGTCTATTTATGCTAGCCAAGGGACACACAAAATGTGGCTACTATCGACAGGTGGCCTTTATAGACAGGTTCTTCAACATATATTTCATTCCGTAGAGAGACAATACATGTGACTGCTATATACAGGTGGTCTCTATATACAGGTGGCTGCTAAGACAGATCTGACTGTACTGGAACTATCTTTGTAAACTACCAGAGATCACTCTTCCCTTATCTATATATTTTTGTAAAGAGAGAACAAATCTTTGACATTCTGCGAGCAATCACATTACCAATTTCAACAAAATTAGATTTGAATATTCATATTGATCGACTTTCACAGTGACCCTTTTACCACAATTGTTTAATGTTTCTACAATATTCATCGATAAACTGCTTCCAGCTCTAATATTCTGCTTTGAATGAATGCAAACTGTTAATATCAGGGTTGTCTTGCCCTTAGTACTACAAGGTTGAATCTCGGATCAAAGATAACTTTTATCAGATGTAAATGTATGAGAAATGTCTTGAACATCTTACAAAATTTAAACATATCATGATTTTTTTTTTACGATTGAGATTTTTATGCTGCCTACTGAATCCCCACTGGAGCAGCCAATAGACTTGATTTTACTAACTAATTTTACTAACCAATTTCACTAACCAATTTTACTGACTAATTTTTGTAGTTGTCTGAAATAATCTACACCAAGGGAACGAGGATGGTCAACATAGATTTTTGAAATATCCAGTCTTGGCATGGCTCCAATGATTACAATACTAAAGATACACATAAGCTACATGCATGCTAGTGATAAATGAATCCTAACATATAGTATCTCTCATCATTATCCTTTAATTTATAAACATGTAAAAAGAATGTATAATGGATCACTTATTTCTAAACGAAAAAATCCTAAAACTTCAAAGTCAATGTGAACAGATGTCCATACATCTCAGCTTTCTCTGCTGCAAGGCTGCACAAAGTAACCAATGATAACATAACAATAATTTAGATGAAGAAAACTTACATTGACAAGCTCTGATTTTTCAAGCAAATATACATTAAATTATTTACATATACTTGTATATTATATACATTTATATACAACTCCAGAAAGAATCTCCAATGTTCCAATAAATTGTTATGGGAACACAGATGCAGATCTCTGACATAATCCTACCTCTACATCTCTTACATTTGACATTTTGTTCTTTTAACAAAAACATTCAGAGAATGATTTTTGTTGTGCATGACCAATAACTTTTGGAATGAATTGAATTGAGATATTTTGGATTTAGTCTACACATCTGAGCAGGTCCTCATAGGGTTTGATTATTTCCATGTCAATAACAGGGTAGCCTCGTCCGGGTTCACATGATAGCTATCCTGAGCAAAGCTAGATTTTTGCACACACATACTTTCCTATACAGTGAGAAATCTGCTACATGTACCGTAACAGAGAGACTTTCTAAGAAATGGAAATTTCACAACCTCAACTATTGCAACATCATTCTTATAAACCATACAGAAAACTCAATTGCCCATCACAGATGAATTTCATATATAAAGATGAAAGATAAATGAAATTTGACTTTATTTTACCCTATTAAGCTTCCAAATTAGTCTTATGTGCAAGATTAGAAGTGTTTACGATCAAATCAAGTTTTGAACTGGTTGCAATGTGGTTTATTAGTCTTCAATGCACCTTGAATAATCAACATCATCTTTGAACCTTCCAAATATTAGAATAATTCCATAAACGTGGCATTTCTCCTAGCACGATTAAGAGTTTCGTGTTACCAATCACATAGACTAAATTAATTTGATATTGCTTTGTTTACAGAAGAAGCCAAGTGCACTAATCCTCTGAACGATTCTCCACCATATGATAGCAATACTCAGTGCACAAGTGGTTATGGCTTCAACAAGAAAAAATACTAAGGCATCGTTATGTTAATTGCTCACCTGAATTGACCAGTACTATGTAAAGTGCTTTTTTTATGGATTTTTCAGAACTTGAATATGGATGGTTAATTGTCACCATTTATAGATATTGAAAATAAAAGCAATCAGAAAATGCTTATGCGACCTATGAGGCATCGATAACTCTGAATGGACACGCAGCTACTGCAAGTCCCATGCATATGTTGAACTGATAACGTTCATGGCAGATAGATTAATGCGGCTAGTTCTGAAGGATCATCATTGATGGTGGCTTGTTGCGGATGGTGATCGTTGGAGAGGTTACATCTCTTGGACGGTTCGATGATGCGTGGGGTTGTGGTTGATTCACAGCACTCTCCAAGATTTGCTGTAACAATAAAGAACATGAAAACTTGATGAATATTCAGTACATCCAATTACCGGTATGAATATTAATAAGAGCTTGCTTACTCCTCCTATGATCCTAATATTATCATCAACTATTTCTACTATATCATATTCTAAATGCCAATTATGAATGTTTTTGAAATTTCATTTAACACTTTATCTGCCCTTTTCCTAGCACTTCAGAAGAAATATTTATCCTTTCTAATTACCACATTCATAGCTGTAACCTCTCAATTATAAATTAATGAAAGAGCGTTTACTTACCCGTCTATCGGTTCTCATCTTAGCATTGTAGAAGGAGGCCGAGTCAGGATTCTCCATGAGAAGCTCGGATTGAAGTCTTTCAAATTTCTCTCCTTCATCTTCAGGCTGAAGAAAAAAAGAAAACAAAACTTATTTGCTCAGCTCAAAATTAGCTGGTTAAGAATTATCCTTCAGTATGGTTTTAAAGTGCTTTTCAAATTTCAATAGTTTTGAAATTCTCATCTTGTTGCACTCTCCATATAGATAGTGTAGTTCCACTTCTATGTGACACAGTAGCATGAGATATACAGAATAATACTTCAGGAACTATATACTCACCATGTCATACTGAGTTCCTGGTCTTGCTCCAACCCCTGCCACTGCACTACTCTGGCCTTCTTCAGTTGTCAAGAAACATTCACTATACCAGTTGTCAAATTCTGAGGAAGATCAAAAGCACATAGTCTTAAGTTCTGGTAATAACAGAAATTTACTAATTCAAACAAACCTTCAACTTTTCAAGGCTATAAGACATATAATTCTGGTAGAAAACGCATAATAAGCAAAGAAATATATGGAAATCAAAGAGTTTGTCCCAATCGAAGTACTTAATCACGGTACTTACATGCAGAGAAAAGATAGAAGGATATACGTAGAATGAAAACTAAGAAGCAACATTTAATACATGCAGAACATTGGACAGCAAGCCATAAACTATGTTCAACGTCCTTACCATTAACAAGTCTCTGTCTGCACTGGTCTACAAGCTTCTGACAGTACTGGATCTCTGATTTGATCTGCCGTAGGGCATCGTAATCACCACGGTAGGATGCTTTGAGTTCCTTTAGTTTCCTGATCATCTGAAACTCCTCCTCGCTAATCACCATCTCACCTTCCTCATTCACAAAGTCTCCTGACAAACAAAAGAATAATAATAATAATAATAATAATAACTAATGTGTTATTTACCAAGGGTAGCCACTTCAGTTATAAAACTGCTCTTCCAGCGGGCCCTGTATAACATAATATCATCGGTGGGGTGACAAAACCTTGTATCTCAAAAATTATGAATTTTCAGGAGAGGGAAAAAAACTTTCCTGTCTCAAAAAATTTAGTGCTGTGACACCGTCCTTTCTTTTTAAAACTGGAATATTTATACAATTTTTAATGTCATTGTTGAAATACAGTAAAATAATTGTTATTATTACCTTCTCCAATCTAATATGCTGAGCACCTAGTTAGAGGGCAGAAGGTCCCATTGTTTTAAGTCTTTGGTATGACTCGGCCGGGGTTCGAACCCACGACCTCCCATTCATGAGGCGGGCGATCTAACCACTGAGCCACCATGCCTGGTAATAAAAACTCTTATTGATTGTATATAAAATGTATGGTTCTTCTGTGATCATAACTGTTGTCACCATATATTATATTGTACCCTGCCTTTGACAAGTATTTTGTATGAATCAGGTGCAGATAGATTTCCAACAATGTGGGTAACAAATGGTAAACATATGCTTATAATTTTCATATCCAATACTCACTAGAGAGTAGAGAACTCTGATATGTTCGGGTACATTATCTTATGATTAACAAGATGGAACTTCGACTGCGCGCAGTCGAAAATGATGCCTCCGTCATAGAGCAATTTTACAAACCAAAACAGAAGAAATTTTTCGAATTCAAGTTCAATTGTAATCCATTAACAGGTTTTCAGAATATTGTGATTACAAGCTATTTTTGCATATACATAATGAGCCCATGACCTTTGACCTTATGAACCAAGAATCTACTCAGTTCATTGGCTCTGCAAGAAACATACATGACCTAAGTTGGTAGGAATCCATCAATCGGTTCTTGAGATAACGCGATCACGAGCTGTTTATGCATACATAATGTGCCCTGTGGCCTTTGACCTTTGACCTTGTGACCCCTAAATCTAATCAGTTCATCGGCTCTGCAAGTAACATACATGACCTAAGTTTGGCAGCAATCCATCAATCGGTTCTTCAGATAACGCGATCACAAGCTCGTTTTGCATACATAATGAGCCCTGTGGCCTTTGACCTTTGACCTCGTGACCTCAAAATCTAATCAGTTTTTTGGCTTTGCAAGTAACATACATGACCTAAGTTTGGCAGCAATCCATCAATCGGTTCTTCAGATAATGCGATCACGAGCTCGTTTTGCATACATAATGAGCCCTATGACCTTTGACCTCCTGACCCCAAAATCTAATCAGTTCATCAGCTCTACAAGATACATACATGACCAAAGTTTGGCAGGAATCCATCAACCAGTTCTTCAGATAACGCGATCACGAGCTCGTTCTGCATACATAATGAGCCCTGTGACCTTTGACCTTTGACCTCGTAACCCCAAAATCTAATCAGTTCATCGGCTCTACAAGATACATACATGACCAAAGTTTGGCAGGAATCCATCAACCAGTTCTTCAGATAACGCGATCACGAGCTCGTTTTGCATACATAATGAGCCCTGTGACCTTTGACCTTTGACCTCGTAACCCCAAAATCTAATCAGTTCATCGGCTCTACAAGATACATACATGACCAAAGTTTGGCAGGAATCCATCAACCAGTTCTTCAGATAACGCGATCACGAGAACGGGACGTACGTACGTACAGACGTACGTACGGACGTACGGACAACCCGAAAACATAATGCCTCCGGCTACTTCGTAACGGAGGCATAAAAAATACAATAAATTTGTCATTTAGATTACAAATCCTTGTATAGTCTGAATCCTTTTATGTTGTAGTATACGTTCCGTGGCATATCAAAACATATTTATAATATAAAATATGCACTAAAATTTGCGAGTTACACATGCTCAAAAAGTATTTTTTAAAACATCACATAGAGAAAAAACTAGTCGATCATCAATCATGAAAATGCCTGCATAAACCCACCTTGTTCAGCCTTCTCTTGCCTTAGTTTCTCAATAGTATTTCGCGTTACATCAATCTCCTGCTTGGTCATGTTGATCGACTTGGCTAAGTCTCTGCAATCTTTCCTCTTGGCCTTCAGGATGTCTGAATGAAAGACACAAAATATTCTGAAGTTAATGAAAATTGTTTTGTCATTGCAGTTTCATCAGGGGTACATTTAGATAATTGAAGTGGAAAACTATTCATCCCTAACACAGACGTTTTTTAGGCTTCAACTGTCCATCGCAGGGTTATTCTACAGTATTTTCTGAATGGATTTCCCTAGCATATTGCAATAAATTCATTCACAATTCAATTGCATTATATGACTTTTAAAGAAATGTTAAATAGAATACCGTACCTGAATCCCAACAATATGACCACTAACATAATTATAAGTATTTCAATTAAACTTCAATTAAACTTCTGCCAGCTATAATTTCTCACCTTTGTTTTCCACAAGTATCTTGTTGATCTCCTTGCCTTTCTCATGTTTGAATTCCTCAAACGCAACCGTCCTGAGTGGCGGAGTGGCTCTTCCCTGTGCACCGCCCTCTGCTGCTGGGCCCTGTGACCCTGCCACCGAGGCCGTCTCAGTGCGGATTGCAGACTCTTTAGTGTCTGGTCCAACGTTACCATTCCTGACAGGTGAGGCACGTTCCATGGTAGGTGAAGGGCTTGAGACACCTTTAGGTTGAGGGCTGCATATATAATAAATCCATGATAAACAAAATTTGAGTTTTTCAAGTCTTGCTTCTAATCATTGCTGACCATATGTTGTAAATCTCAGCTTCCATCTATAATTTTACCTAGAATCATCAACATTGGGCATATCCATCCTTTTAGGAAAATGTATTCAAGTCAAAAATTATAAATACAAAGTTTCACAAGAATGTTTTTTGTGGAAACTCTAGTAATAAGGCACTTTTGCAGACAATAAAATTGTGGGTATAAGTACTGGTGTCACATTTGAATTGACTAAAAGGTTATATTTTCTCATCAACGAAATTTATCAACAAGACACATAAATATCAAAGCATATATTAAGGCATTAGCACTAAATTAATGTAAGGAAATTACAAAGACTCACCTTCCCCTTTCCTTAGCTTTCCTTCCTCTTCCCTTTCTCGCCGACACAACAGATGAATGTGCTGGTTTAGATGAGGCTGGAGCAACTCCTATACCAAAGCCTTGTCCATCAACCTCTCCTACATACGTAGCACCACCATCCTCATCAAACACTACTCCAGCCTGCATGTTCAAATACAAAATTAAATCAGAAGGGCATTAGCTCAATTTGGGGTATGGAGGCGGCATGTTGGAGATTTTGCTCTAGCTTTTCTATTTTTAAAGACAAAATACATGTAATATATCCTTTCAAGCATTTATATCTAAAAATGTATGTACAATACCACATCGTGAAATTAAAACTATAGTTCTGAGCACAACCATGTCAAACTAAGAGAGGAACTGCGATTTTTATTAGAGAAACAAATAGTACCAAAGCATGGGCCTGAAGGCTTTGACAGATATTAGACATATTATTCAGCGTTAGAAGGCCATTGAAGTTGCTATTCCTACAATCATTACAACGGCTGCTTACCTTCTGTGCAGCAGCTACAGCATTAGGATCCATGCGATCGATGATGGTATACTTCTGCCTTAGACGACTTTCAACCTCACTGTCCATCTGACTAACCATGCTTTTAAATGTGCCAAAGATGCTCTGGATCTGTCGTATGTTGACGATATCGATCTCGTCCAGTGAGCCATCGAGGTAACGTCGTACCTGGTTATTGACCTCTAAGAGTTGAGTGTCTGACAGTGGCTCGTAACTCACCTGGCTTCGGTTGGCCTGTAATAAATCATGTGTTAAAGGCATCGTTTAACAATGTTAAATCTGAGATGCATGGTCCTACGTGCAATCAGTGTCTGTGATATGGTGTAATAATGAAGCCCTGAAAAAAATTGAACTTCAAAAAAGTAAAAAATCTTTGAGTGACTGGTTTTACCATACTCATTTCCCCCAATAGATGGTAGTGTTATGAAAACCGTTAGGAAAAAAAAAAAAAATGAAATTTTGATTTCCAATCATAAATATCTTGATAGTTAGACAGATGATCGGCTTGTAAAAGTCATGGGGTTCCTGACTGACCTAAAGGTTTATAATTATCATCGCAGCAAGAGCTAAATCCAGAATTTTTTTTCAGAATCTGAGACAAAGTTGCCCAACCCCTTTAACCCTATTTTAACTGGGCTATTTCAGACCAGGTTTTTACTGGGGAGGGGGGGGGGGGTCAATTTGACCCCCCCCCCCCCCCAAGATCTCGGCCGTTTCACTGCCGATCGCCGCGAAAATTTGCATACATGTCAAGTGAAGTGTATAGAATACTATGGTAATTTCAATTTTTAGAAAAATTCACTCAATTGCATATTTATGGTAATTTATGCAAATAAGGTCATAATATTCACATTTTTGCCCATAAATCATACATTATTCTTATTTAAGCATTCTTTTTCACTACATATATTTGTTAGACCATTTGGAATAATAATACAACACAAAAAATTGGAAGAACCAGATTATTCCTTATGTTATTTCTTGTTTTGATAGTTTATTATATATTTCATTGTTTTTTAACTTATGTATTTTATTGTTTTTGTTGTTTTTGTTGTTTTATTTCATTTATAACTACAATTCAACTATTTTGACCCCAATACAAACACCTAAACTTTAAACAAGACTAAATAACCAATGTTTTATCTCTTTTTAGGAACAAGGGAAACGCTCTCGGCGGTCTCGCCTGCATTACGCAATTCGATATGATGAAAAATTGAGGTTGGAACATTATTTATAGGCACGGTGACCCATTAGCAGGCCCCACAAAATGAAATCCTTTTGAATATAATCAGCATTTTGAAGTGAATATTGACTAAGAATCATCAAAAGAATTATTTAATATTAATTGTACCACGATCGATAACTTGAATGAAATATGAACAAATTAATATAAAAAAATGATTTATTAATTCTCATATTAAGTTGTGAAAACATAATCCAAGTCTACTGACCTAAAATGACCTTTGACCTTGTGACCTGGAATTTGTGTCATATGATTTGTGATACTTGATAACCCTTGTGTACAAGTTACATGGAATTTGAACAAACAATTTTGAAAATATGCTAAAAATTCAAAATCTTGATGTTGATGCCACAACAAATTCTAAGTGTGTTGACCTAAAATGACCTTTGACGTTAACTTAGTGACCTGAAATACTGATCACTTAATTAGGGATACTTGATAACCCTATAGTCCAAGTTTCATTGACAAAGAACTTAAACTTTCAAAATTATATAAAAAATTCAAAAAATTAACCTTTCGTTAAGTTTTTGATGATGATGCCACAACATAGTCCAAGTCTGTTGACCTGAAATGACCTTTGACCTTGACTATGTGACCTGAAATGCTACTAACATAATTGGGGATACTTGATAACCCTATAGTCCAAGTTTCATTGACTAAGAACTTAAACATTCAAAATTATATAAAAAATTCAAAAACTTAGCCCTAGGTTAAGTTTTTGATGATGATGCCACAACATAGTCCAAGTCTGTTGACCTGAAATGACCTTTGGCCTTGACTTTGTGACCTGAAATTCTACTCACATGATTGGGGATACTTGATAACTCTATAGTCCAGGTTTCATTGACTAAGAACTTATACTTTCAAAATTATATTGAAAATTCAAAAACTTAACCTTAGGTTAAGTTTTTGATGTTGACGCCGCCGCCGCCGCCGCCGCCGCCGCCGCCGCCGCCGCCGTCACCGTCGCCGTCGTCACCGGAAAAGCGGCGCCTATGTCTCGCTTTTTTGCTACGCAGGCGAGACAAAAATGACATTTCCATATGTTTTGTACACAAATCACAAAAATGAGCGATTTTCGGGCCGACATGCGAAGACAAAAATTGAAAAAATTGTTTTAAAAGATGCGTAAGACTCAAAAGAAAAAAGTCATGAAAGGAAAATTTATTATCTGCCGCAGTTTCGGAGTATTCGCGAAATTTCTACAGGGGGGGGGGGGTCAAATTGACCCCCCCCCCCAGTTAACGTAGGGTTAAGGGTATTCCTCTTCTCTTCAGAAAATTATAAAACTTCATACAAATGGTGCATGTGAAAGTAAAAATAGGATGAATCAAAATACAATAGAAGAGAAATAAGAGGAAAGTTTCCTAACAAAGGCGTAGCTAGTAGAAGAGTTAGCATGATTCAGAAGAATAACTCAATACTACAAATATATCAATTTCAGAAGTTTGCTTCTAAACAAATGCAGAAAATAGTAAAGAAGATGCAATAGAAAATGGTAAAATTTCCTCTTACCATATCTAAAAATATTCATCATGTTTGAAATACTCCAAAATGCTTTCATCTTGAATTTCAGAATAGATTTTTAATAAAACTCAAAAGAAGAAAAAGACTTACAAGTATACACCATACACTACATTTCAAATGTTTTTGATCGATGCATTCATTTCTCGCTGGCTATATAAACTGCCAAGATCTGTTAAATACCAGTTTCAATAACATCTTGTATCATATTTACAACACATTTCTCCCTGCTCTGACATGCAGTAAGAACCCTGCATTCCCTGTAGTAATGCATTGTTAGACTTACCAGCGTATCATGCATAGTGAGTTCATGCTTCAAATGCCTGATCTCTTTCTCTAGTTTCTTGACCAGCAATGCCGGATCAAAGAACTCGTTGACAGCTGGATTCACAGCGACACACATCATTCTTGTAGCGAAGCGCATGGTTGAGATGGTCTCCTCTATCTGCTTGGCTTCTCCCCACACGTTGGCTATCATGATGGTGTTACAATTCCCACCTGTGGCATAGAAAAGTACAGTCAAGAGAAACATATGTTACATTTTTTCATCAGACCTGAAGAAATTGTTTGTCTCAGTACAATCAGAATTTTACTCATGTCAAAATAGATTCTTTATGTTTGTTGCAGTAGAGAGTGTGAGTTCTCAAAGCGGGACTGCACTACTTGTAGCTACTTACGCCCTCTATATAGCAAACAATGCCTAAGCAGTACCCGTTAGTCCCCCATGGTCCCCTTTTTCCTATGATAATGAAGAGCTGATTTGATAAGACAACCACCTGTCAGTGACCATGCAGGGAGGTCTAATCCCTCCTGGCCAAACTAGTGCAGATAGGCTTTAAATTAAGTATTTTCAATGAAAATGAGCAAAACTTTAAATTAATTTCTTCACTTCTAATCTTTTTGTTCCAATCTGAAGCATTTAGATTTCAAATACATGGCACCATGTCGCAAGAATCCATCGTAGTAAAAGGAGACTTTGAGTAGTGCCAGTTAAAGCTTTCTGAACATGTTAATTATAACCTACCCAATGAATCTTTGAGACAGTGTGTTAGCTTGGTCTGCCTGTACGGTATATGCTCTCGTCTCCGATCAGCCAATGCAATGGTCGTCTGCTCTAGGAATGTCAAGGATTTGTTGATGTAGACAGCCTCTTGCTGAGTCTTACCTTCAGACTGAAAAAAAAACAATCACAAAGATGATGGCAAAGTTGCAACGTCTCTAGTACCGCTATACCTCTATTCTACAAATAATGTTTAAATTTGCGATATATGTATATGTATCACTTCAACTATCTATTTTATGCATACTTTTGATGAGCTTTGGTCCAATCATCAGCACACATGACAATAACAATTTCTCAAGATAACCCTGTCATATAATGTTCTGCAAATATGTACTTTAAACTGAAGTAAAATCTCATCTACAGTTCATGAAATAAATTGGTAAATAAGCAAAAACTGATTAAAGAACTGTAATGTAAGTAAATATACTGAGACTGAGTCCTTGAGCAAATGACCCTAAGCAATCTCTCATGTACATGTAGTACCGCTGGAAATGTTATGAACCAGAGCAAAATAACGCTGAGTTCATATAGGAAATATATGTATTCAGATAAACATATCTCAGCCAATACTTAACCTAGTCAATTGGTTTTCGAAATTTGGACATTATTTTTTATGCTCTTTCGGAAAATGAAGAAAAAAAATTGAGAAATTCTAAAAATAGATTTTTGATGACATCACACTTCACCACTCTATAGAAAGGCTCCATATCTTTAGCTCTTGTATCTTTGGAGTAAGCTAGTACAGCAGACGTTTAGAGATTGATAACTAGCTCTTACTTACCCCTGTCTTGCTAAGCCGCTCTGAGCCAGCGAGATCAACCAGGTTGAACTTGCTTCGGATGTATTTAGCATTGGACTCGGTTCTGGATCTTGATTCCACATGGATGGTGAAGATACAGTGAGATCTAGAAGAGACGCTGTTCAGAGCATGAGAGGCGATGGCACGGTTGGTCTCACCCTAAGAATTAAAATCATTTGATGGACTTAACAGATGGGTAACATATATTTCATTGCTTCACAAAATATATAAATTTTGAAATTGCTTGGTACATGTTACTTGCTAATAAACATTTATGTTTACATGTACTGTATGCAAAGGCTCTGTAGAAATAAGAAAAGTCATCTTAGAAAATGAACATTTAGGTTTCAATCATGACACAATAATGCCTATAGGGGCCTAGATGTAAAATATATCTTAAAGGTATAGACTAGTATCTCCAAAGCAAAATGCTGCTACCAATACGATTTTTTATCTCTCTCTCTCTCTCTCTCTCTCTCTCTATTTTCTTTTTCTCCAGGAAAGCCAAATAGTCATAGCTGTAAAGAAAACATTCAAGCATCAACTGACTAAACAGAATTTATCAATTTGCATAAAGCCTGGACTAATAGGTGAATATATTTCTAAGAAAATGCAAACTTGATTTAGTTGTGAAAATTTCTGCAAAATGCAGCTGTACTGGATGAAATATCTCTTTGGAGTAATTATTCAGAAGAGTTCATTTTACTTTCAAATATATACCTCAAAGAGCAGATTAAGGGCCTCCTCTTCATTGTGAGCTAGATGAACGCTCAAGCCTTTGATATTGATACCAAACTCATCCTCTGTGATCGTCATCTGGGGAAGTCCCTGAATGCTGTAAGGCAGGGTCGATAAGAGGTCAAACATGGTCTCGTTGTAGATCTCTAAATAGCTGATACGAACAGTGATCGCTTGCTCTGGTCTATCCTCTATTTCCTTGTAAACCTGAAGCATGAGAAAACGGAAAAAAGTGTGACAAATATATTAATGAATTATCTCTCTGTCCCAAATACAGAAATTATATTTTTGTCTCTTTTTTAATATTTTATTTTGAGTCCCGTCCTGCCAGAAAGTATCCCCGCAATATTCTTACATGTATACAACAAAGATAAATTGACAAACACATACGTGGAAGATATTCACAGTACATAATGCTACTTGTTCCTATTCTTTTGTCGATTCCAATGGCAAATGAGAGAGCTTAACCTTTGTATTGTGTTCCCTTCCTACAACATAGTATGTATCACTACTCAATACATACCTGTGCTATAGCCCTGGGGATGACTCCTCTCTGTTTGTAGTTCTCGGTTGCTCCAGTCATTGTGTATGTCTTACCCGCACCAGTCTGACCATAACACAATAACGTCCCTAGAAGAAGAAAAAAAATGCATCAAAGTTAGCTTAATTCAAATCTTTAATATCAGATCACACTCAATCTCAATCTCTCCAAAATGATATGGGTATAGACAAAAAGTAAAAGAAAACATACATTAAAATTTGTCTTTGAAAATAAACATTCTCAATTAAGCATGTTTCATTACCTGAAAATTATTTCATGTTCATTCAACCTCTATTCACTTGGGTGCTATCCCAAGTTATCTCAAGCATTATTCAATGAGTCAAAAGCTTACCATTATAGCCATCAAGTAGCTGTGTGACAAGAGGGGAAGCCACTTCTTCATACACCTTATCTTGACTAGCATTATGAAGAATTCCATCCATCTTAAATGACCAGTCCAACATCTGATTGTTGACCACGCCTCTCTTTACATCTTTCTTGGCATGGATATTGACAGTCTGTGGCAAAAAAAGATTAGAGTGATATTTTATCATGCACTCATTTAATTTCATATTTGTAATCATACCATGAAGATCACACATAACATTGTTCTGGATACATGTTTGTTGTATCCAGGGTTTGAAAATATAAGTTACAGGTCATCCCTTAACCAAGATATCATTAATTCTACTCAGCCAATTCAGCTTTAAGACCCAAAATTTGATCAGTTATTCAAATTGTAAGCTTTTGTGAAAAACTTTTTTTTTAATATATATAATTAGAATCCTAAATCTATGATAACATTGAAAACTGAAGAAATCTTTTGAACAAATACTAAGAATAATTCTCAGTTTCCTTGAGTAAATTGTCCTAGCTGTCACTGATTATATTGGAATTTATGGTTCAAAAGTGATTGAAATCAATGAAAGAACATTAAGCAAAGTAGACTAAATATATTTCTACTATCGAAAAGTAAATTAGTTGATGGTGATTTTTTTTTTTTGAGGGTGTGTCATGTGTGTGTGTGTTTTTATGTTTCTTTGTCTGTTTATTTTTAATAAAAGAACAAAAGAATAAGAGGAACATCATCACAGTAGAAGTTTTTGAAAAACAATATTATTTAGATTTACCAAGGTCTACATGTATGTCTAACTTTAAGAAAGCAAAGTTGAATTCTTTTCAAACAAAGACTAAACAATGACTCTGCTCAGTTGGCTGATAAGCAGTTTATGGTCTAGATTGATTGAAGACCTACCTTGCCATCTGGATTGAGCTCAATCATATCCTGAGCAAACTTGTCCGTCGGCCTGGTGCGTACAAAGACGCGGACCTTGCTGCTTCGCTTATTCATCAGGGATGTTTCACTTGATTTAAGCACTCCCTACAGAAAAAAGAGGAGAAAATACTTTTGAAGTGCTGCTAGGTCTTAAAGAGAAACATACAACTCCAACTGAACTTGAAAGGTCTAGTCTCACATCGACATGAGTTATAGATCATTCTTGAAATGAATTATTAATGTTAAAATCACATAAAATTGCCACTCCCAGTCCCAGGATAGATGCATAGATCTAGTCTATTTAATAAAAATGACTTAACCTACATGTAATATGCTGTCATTGCACTTGGCTGACAAGTTCATTTAAGTGTAGATCTAGTTTTAACTTAGAGATTGTTTTGTATATTTGTATGGAAACTCTTTGTGTATTTTCAACACCTAAACTAGATAGTTCATACTCTAGATCTAGATCTATTGTCTTTTTTACCATTCTGAGAATAGATGCATCATCCATGTAGATTGGAGTTTGAGCAACAGAGTAATCATCTTCCACTTGGAATTCATCAGAATCATCTGCCCCATCATTAGAACCCTGGTTTGATCTTGATCCACCCTTCCCTTCACTACGACGACCTTTCATTTTCATATTTCCTGGAAACCTGCTGGCTGGACTTCAACTTCTAGAATTTTCAATTTGTCTATATAGGTCTAAGGTCTACTATAGACCTAAAACAAGTTCATTTGAACAAGTTAGATCTGCCTCTAGCTCTGTATGTGACTTTGATATCCAAATTAATATCAGCCTGCTGAGCTGAGCCTACACTCAGTAATTTAGTTTAGAATTTTCAGCTATTTGAAAGTGTAGATCTATCTAGTCTATTTTCAATTTTGTCCCACAAAATGATTGTGCTCGAATTGTGTGTGGGAACTGGCAACTAATGTTGTTTATTAGCATTGCTATTGTTGTTTTTCCTGATTAGTGATGAAACAATAAACACGTCACAAAAGGTAACTAAATGCGCTTAGAGTCTAGACCTATAATAATGCGCAAATACAACACAAATCCTGACTCGATCGCCTAGCCTGAGCTGCGCCTGCCCGATAGACTGCCCGGCCCGAAGGGGCATTCGCAAAATTAGCGAGGGCCTAGCACCTAGGTCACGGCTCAGCCAACACTACGGGCATCGATAATGCTGCTAATATCCTGTTGATTGCAGGCGCAGCGTGAAGGACGAGCGATCGCGACATCTACCAACGCCGGCATATTTCATGAACTTTTTGCTTTTAACACTTCTTTCGTGATCTAACATTTACATGAACTGATTCAACCATTACTTACTTAAATTTTAACAATTACAATTCATTCATTCATACTTACCAAAATCTAAAATGTTGATGATATTTACAATCGTCAAAATCCAAATTCGTCTGTGCGTACTGCTCGTACGTACGTATACAATAAACGTTTATATTTATACGGCGCGCGCGCACATGACGCGTCCGTCATATTACGCGTTTGATTCTTTTCGTTTATGTACACGGCGTCGCCGTTGTTAGGGCTTCTGCGCATGCGCTCATTGTCTGCATTAGTGCATCGTACCGTCCTGAACATCAGTTTTCTAATCAAAATATTCCTTTTTCATTATCATTTCGGTTGAATTCATACTAATGTCGTTACCTGTTTGTAGTTTTGATATAGGATCTATTTTCAGGGCCCCACAAACAAGTTTTGTTGAATGAAATACCCTGGTCAAGTATTAATAAATGAATAAATGGAATTTTAAAGGTAAAGACCAGTATTGGCAACGCCCCAATTTCAAAAATGAAATGGAAGCTCTCATTACCAATCATGTGAAAGAATATGTTTTGACTAATACATGATGATAAAAAATTTGCCGGGAAACCGCCTACTAATTCATATATTTGGTAAACTTATTTCTCTCATGGTCTGGTGAGAGAGATAGGGTAGTCCCATATACATCTTTCTGTGTATAGTGCTTGTAACTTTACGAAGAATGGGCCAAATTTCTTATCATTTTGATGATTCCAGAACCTTGCAGATGCTAGATGCTAGATGATCAACCTTTTCTGATCGATTCCACAACGTTTCTTTCACAATGCAATCGCATGACCATTACTGGTCTTTACCTTTAAAAATTAAATATTATCACAATCAATGGGGAGGGGGGGGGGATGAGCATAATTTTTATTTCGTATTTGACCCCGAAAATTCGAAATCGTGCCAACCAATATCTCACTTAGTGGGAGGGGGGGGGAGCGGGTTGTGTGATCACTTACTAAACTGAAAAGATATATATATTGGATAAGGCAGACTAATGGTGCATGGTGCATGGTTGCAACCATGCACCATTAGTCTGCCTTATCCAATATATATTTTGCTCTGCCCATAAGCATTGAGCACTGTACGGAGGAATAGACCAAATCTTAGTATATATATATATATATATATATATATATTTAATAGCCAGGGGGGACCCGGGCCCGTCTCCCCCCCCCCCCCCACCCTCCCCCGTGGATCCGCGCCTGGGCCCTACCTACTAAATGATTTTTTTTTTTTTTTTTTTAATTTTGCCCCCCAAAATTTGAAAATCGCGCCGACCAATTCTTCGCTCATTTGGGGCGGGGGTGGGAGGGGGAAGTGAACACTAAAAAAGTCACGCCGACCTTATTTTTTTCTCAACATCCATTGAAATAGAAAGTATCGTAGTAGAAAAATCTGAATTAACCTATAGCTTTGTATTAGTCGTAGCCTTGTCATGATATCCACAATCTTCGATCAGGGCTTAACAAGTTCCCGCTTTGATTGTAGCTGTAGGCTATGAGAGGCCGGTAGAGAGAGAAAGAGAGAAAGAGAGAGAGAGAGAGAGAGAGAGAGAGATAAAGCGAGAGGGGTGAGAGAAGAGAAACAGAGAGAGAAGTGGATAGGGAAAACATTTTTAATCTCCTTTCCATGACTTTTCCCTCTATCTTTCTGTAACCATCTCTCCCTTATTTGCTTTCACGCTCCCACCCGCCATCTCTCTCTCTCTCTCTCTCTCTCTCCCTCCCTCTCCCCCTCCCCCATTCTCTCTCTCTCTCTCTCTCTCTCTCCCTTTTCCCTCCTTCCCCTTTTCACTCTCTCCGCCACTTCCCCTTACTCCCCCTACCCCTTACCTCTCCCTCTCCATCTCTCTCTTCCCTATTTTTTTCATAATGTCATCGTAGCTGCACTACTTTAATTAAAATACTGTATACACATGAAAATTACACGGAATCTAAACTCAATGACCGACAACTTGTTTAATACGTGTCATCTACACATCTACTACAACTAATTGTGGAAAGAACATTGACAAAGAAGTAAATATTTCAAACCCAGGTCCTTGAACCAGTGTAATACGAAATACGAGTGCGCCTTTAGCAGGGTACACAAAACAATATAACAGAAACAATAAAACTATGGCAAGTCGGCTTAAGCGGGCTTTAGCGTTGGACATACAGATAACAACTAAATTATTCATACCCCTAGTAAATTTGATATATTTGTATTTTTCGTAACAATAAATTACTCAAGAATAAACAATGGACTGGTTGAATTGGGGCCATTGATGAATACTGTTAGATGTAAGCTTTCATAATGTCCCATTATCAAGAAACATAAAGGGGACAAATACATTTTCACTTACTTCCAAAAATTACAAAACTTGGTAGGGGTATGAGTAATTTAGTTGTTAATGCTATGTTTGATTTGGTTTCCTACGCGTACCAATCCTAGAGTAATTCCTTTGATGTTAATCTTTTTTCTTCGGAAATGTACCCTCTTAATAATTTATTGATCCAATTTCTACACCGTCGCCGTAAAGAATATAAATTTTGTACTACGGCTATATGCTATCATAATGGTACAAATTTGAAAGGCTAACCTAATTGAAATATTCAGACAATCATCGTCACCTCATAATTTGGGCAATAATGCCTAGTCCAGAATCTGACTGGTTCTTATATTTTATCTCTATAATATTCCCTAAATTTGAATCAAGCCGCCGAAGATGGCGTTGCAAAAAGTCGAGGATCACGAGCCGTCATCATCGGTTTGCAGCAAGAAGTGGTAGATCACGGACTCTGAAGTGGGGATTTATTATCTTTAAATCAAATCGGCCAGATCCTGGACTAGTATTGAGGTTGTAACATTGTAATTACGCTTTCTTCCCTCTTAGCATTGATTTCCGGACTTTCGGGGCAGATATTATGCACTCAATGAGATTCGATCATACACAATACCAGTCGCGTACGCAGAGCGGGGGGGGGGGGGGGGGTAAACCCCCCCCTCAAATATTTTGTTTGTGTAAAAAAGAAATGAAAAAGAACACCCCCCCTCAAATATTTTGTTTGTGTAAAAAAGAAATGAAAAAGAAATGAAAAAGAAAATGACCAAGATGACCTTACCTCCCCCCCCCCCCCCCCCCCCCCCCTCACTGAACCAAATATCGGTCGGCATAATTTTCCGATTTCCGGGACTAAACAAAAATATATTTGCTCTTACCCTGATCGGACTCATGTTCGAAACTGTGTCACGCTTTTCAGATGGTGATGTTAAAGGTCGGTCCGATACGTAAATAATTTTATCTGATTGATATATCTGTGAAAACCCTAATTAATTTCACAGTCATACCCCCCCCCCCCTACCCGTCTAGTACCCTTTTCACATCTATTTTTCTTAACCCCGGACTATCCTTAACCCCATACTATCCTTAACCCCATACTATTTTTTTTGCTGTTCACATCTATTTTCTTAACCCCGGACTATGTGCTTAGCCGGGGTTAAGAAATTTCACGCGATTCACACTACGTTCGCCTTAGCCCCGGACTATTCGATAGCTCATGAATATTAATGCTTTTGCTACCGCGCAAAGCGTTTTCCCTTTATTATTTTACCGATCCAAATCAATTACCCATTTTTCATCCAATTCACTTGATAAATTTACCTACGTAAATATGACTGATAATGAAAAATGCAATAAAAAATTATGAGCTACATGTTTTTTCACTATTTTTTTAAATCAATTTTATAATAAAGATTTTTTCATAATGACCTCTGCCTCGTAAAAGACTAAACGTCAATACAGAGAGCATGCATGCGTAACGTGAACTGCATGCATGCGTAACGGGAACTGCATGCATAGCGCGCGATAAATGCAAATTCACGACCACACGACCACGCTGTCTGTGATTGGCTGTTGCTTAGCCCCGCTTCTCCTTAGCCCGGTTCGGTATCACACTACGCAGCTTAGCACCACAATTGCCCGGCTAACCCCGCAATTGCCCGGCTAACCCTGCTATTTTGCAGGGCCAGATAGTCCCGTACTATTTGTGGGGTTAGCCCACTTTGGCAAAACGTAATGTGAACAGAAAGCCGGCTAAAATTACCCCGGGTAATTGGTGGGGCTAAGGAAGGAATTGGTGGGGCTAAGAGCCCCCTTAGCCCCACCTATTTCCCGGGGTTAAGCAATATTTGGTAGATGTGAAAAGGGTATAGGAGGCTGTTCACACCGGCATAGATAGCGCGCGCTAGACCGCGCTATCTCTGCGGTTTGGAAGGTACAACGTCGTTTCGGTCCGCCCAACAGCGAGCCAAAACGGCGTGCCACTGGAGCACCTCTTGGGGGTGGTCCACGAGAGAGAGCGCGGTCTAGCGCGCTAGAAAAAAAGGGGTGCTACGATAGACCGAGCTATCTCATTGCGGTGTGAACAGCCTCTAAGAAATCATGGATCCGCCACTTTTATTAAACTACAGCACTTCACTCCTCTGGCATGCCGGGTGCGAAGAAAGAGGAAGACGGAGGTTTGACGGTCACTGCACATGTACAGGTTGCACAAGGTTCTCTCTAATCACAGCCTTCATCAGATCGCAGTGATCCCTAGAAAAATGGATAAGAGGAAATGGGGTGAATGAAAGAAAAACATCATTATGAACCATTTCTTTTTAATTTGTTTCCTCTTTTGATAAATTGAATCGCTATCAAGTATTGTTGTGTTGGTAGATAGGGTAATTAATCTTACCCTGAAACTTGTGTGGTTCAAAGTCTAGCTTTGAGCATCCCTGAACATAATTATCAATAACCACCCACCACCATTCATGAATAATTATGATTAGCTAACTCCTGGACTGATTAATATTTGTTTTTCACGTGAACGGATCATTAAAACATAGCTATAGGTTAACGAAGCTCTGCTTACAATCTCCGTCATTGCTTCATCTGGTCCATGGTCCGAGCCAGTTTCAGGAGCAGTGTCTTCCTCCGCACCGCTGTTTCCATCTTCGTCGGTGGGCTGGACGCTCACTGGCAGCATCTCTGATTTGTCTCCTTCCTGCAAAAATGAAAGAGAAAATGATTACATTTTAATACGTATAGTGGTATAAAATTAAATGAGTTCATTTAGTAACCCAGTTGGTGCATGTCATACAACATTACTGCACTAAC